CTTTCCTTTCAAGGGCATCTGCAGGGAGGTGGTCAAAAAAGTCAAGGCAACTTTGTAAACCAAGCTCTGCCCATTTGTCACGTACATCACACCTTGACTTTTTTTTGGCCCGCTTGCAGACCCATCTGCTTTGTTCCTTTGCACGATTCCACTCCTTTCCAGCATCTGTCAAGTCTGTGAAATGGGGTTGGGCCTCTGTTGAGGGGGGAGCATTCTGGGCTGTGCTGTTTTAAGCCGCTCTGTTGATCTCAGCCATCTCTCCAATGCACGTCAGCTAAATGCAGCATTTTCTTAGTTTCGTGGCTGAGATGGGGTGAACGCAGCTCACCGTCCACAGCACGTGGAGTTGGTGGGCGCAGTTGAAATCTTCGGGTTGGCCTCGGTTTATCTCCCTTCCCAGTTGAGTCAGGCTTTAGAAATACAGAACCTTCTGCTCTTCCCTCCCCCCCCCTTTTAAAAAGAGCAGGTTATTCTGAAAGAAGCCATTGAGTTCTCAGGGTGTGTGAAGAGGTGATTGACTCGTGTACTGCTGGAAATAGGAAAGCAGATCAAAGCTGTAAACCAAGCAGAACACAGTTCCCACTGTCAAGAGAGAAAAGTACGAGGTGAGCGCCCGACAAAAGTTTAGCTGCCGCTGAAGTGTTAACATTGCTGTGGCCTGAAGATGGGAGATCACCGCCAGGCAGAACGCTCCTCCTATAAAAAAAGGAAAAACTTGCATGGAGAAAACCAGCAGGACAGGGACAAGGCTGGAGTTGCACGCTGATCCTTCAGAAGCTAGATTTCTGTGCAGGGAGCTTGTTTTTGTATGGGAGAGCATTCCTTCGTCTGCGTCCGTCCTTGCCTCCAGAGGCTCAAGTGTTAGGCTCCGTTCCCAACTTTTTCAGCTCGGTGAGAATCTAGTGGCAACTGGATGGCGTGTGTGTGCGTGTGCAAGAGGGAGAGAGGCTTAATCCGTTCTTTCATGCAGATCTTGCAGATTGTAAGTGGCCAAACAGCCTTTAGGGCTGGCACAAACCCTAAAAAATAGCAGGTCTTGTGGTACAAAGGAGTCCTCTGCCAGAACTCTGTCCTGGGGAATATAGCATGGGGTCCAGTTCGGCGGCTTTCAACTGGAGGCCGTACAAGTGAAAGAAATCCTGTGGGCTCAGCTTTCATTTCCCTCGGGTTTCAAAAGAGAGGGGGACGTCTCTGATCCCTGGAAAGGTAGTTGAGGAAAGGGTGCTTGGAGCTGAGTTGGAAAAAAAGTCCACAATGGTCCGGAAATTCCGTTTCGTCTCGCAACATTTTTTTTCCCTTCCCCAAATTTCTGATCCTTGAGATATGTCTGGAAGGGAGAGAAAGTCCAACGGCCATTAATTTTGCAAACTTCATGGTTAGCCAGCCTGTGGTTCCTATTTCTGTTTGTCGGTGCTCCTGTTCCAATTTTGTTCGGCTTATCTCCTCTTCAGTTGGGTTTTTTTTTCCTGTTTACTCATGGTGGCTACATTCCGGGGGAAATCAGCAGCTCCTTTGGCAACCTGATCATGTCCTCAGGATTTGTCCTGCATTTGAGGTTGTGTCAGACACTGAACCTCAGAAGTGGCAGCCTTTGCACATAATTGCCAGAGATGCTGGGGATTTTTCCTAGTGATCTTAGTGGTGCAACAGCTATGCAAGGAAGCTCTTAAAGGAGGGGGGCGGGGCCAATATTGAGAAGGACTATTCTGGACCATTAGTATATATTCTTCAATTTGTAGATTGCTTTTATTTGTTGGACTACAGGTAGTCCTCGACTTACGACCACAATTAGGACCGGAACTTCCATTGCTAAGCGATGCAGTCGTTAAGTGAGTTACACCTGATTTTATGACCTTTTTGCCAGTCATTAAGCGAATCAGCGTGGTCATTAAGTGAATTCAGCTTCCATTGACTTTGCTTGTCGGAAGCTGTCTGGGAAGGTCGCAAATGGCGATCATGTGACCCAGGGACACTGCAACTGCTGTAAATACATGCCAGTTGCCAAGCACCTGAATTTTGATCACGTGACCGCGGGGACGCTACAGTGGTTATAAGTGTGAGGACTGGTCGTAAGTCACTTTTTTCAGCGCCATCATAACTTTGAATGGTTGTTAAACAAACGGTCGTAAATCAAGGACTACCTGTAAGCTGATTGCAACAGTCTGATAGCAGAAGCTGAGAATGTTACTATTATTCCAAAAAGAGAAGGACTTCTGCATATTTGCATTGATTCCAGGTGTGCTCCTCTTCTTCTAGCACTGCAGAGGTCTGTTCTCCTACAAAGTCTTCCCTTGGTGCAGAACAGATCTATTCACCTACTTTTCTTCCCACCGATCCCCAGAATAGCCATGGTCATCATAATCCTGATGCTGTATCTAATTCACCATATTTTTTTTGTACAAAAATAGATATCTCAATGGAAAATGGAGAGGGAATTTTAAAACATCCAACCACATGTGATTATACAGTTGTTCCATGTCTGTCCCTGATGAAACAGTGTCAACCTGGAAATTAATGAATAAATTAAATTGTATCAAAGGAATACTTTTTTCATATCTTCTATAGCTGGCAGTGGCCCCGGTAGTGAAACGTGGATGCCAAAACGCAGGATGGCACTTTGGAGCGATGGTGGGAAGCTCTGATGAAAACTGCAGGGGAATTGCGTGAAGCGGCTAGAAAGTGGGTTGCGTGTACCTGAGCGAGAGGAGGACTCGGTTTACATATGCCACAGTCAAGCCGCATCCGAGAGGATTCACACACTGTTAAATTATGCATTATGTAATTTATAGTTTACAATAACTGGATTCAGACAACATGGCTTAATAAATAACAGCTATTTAATAAATAAATGTATTGATTTATTCGATTTGTATGAGCCACCCAGAGTGGTTTAGGTGAGATACATACAAATCAAATAAATACAAATCGAATCAATCAATCAATCAATCAATCAGTCAATCAATTATTTATATTTAAGTGCTGCTTTGGGTGAGGAGGGAGCGATGAAAGATGGCAATGTGAAAACACCTCTCTGTAGTCCAAATCCTCTTTTTTTATCGGCTTTGCTTTTCCACTGCTTTTTATTTAGTTAGTTTTTATTTCTATTCAGCTCCGTTTTATCGGCTATGAGATTTGATAATAATTCTGGACCGTTTTATGGATCGTATGGGAGGCCGTTGTGTCCTATGACCACCGTGAAAGCAATCAAGAGGCAGCAAGGGCACGGGGAAAAGAAGGAAGTCAAACCCATTGCCTGGAAATGCTTAGATGGAAGAAGAGAGACTCCTAACTGAGGAATTGTTGGGAGTCCAAGCAGGTCGCCCAGTGGCCGATCAGGAGCTGATTCTCTCGCTCGCTCGAGAAGTAGCCCAACTGGAAAAGTAACTATGCCTGTTCGCTGATTTCAAGCAGGCTTTTGATTCTATTTCCAGGGCACTTCTCTGGAAGACATTGAAAGCTTCTGCCGTCAATAGATGGCAACTCACCCGAATACACACTCCATAGAAAGGAACCAGTTTGACGGTGAGATGTACCGCAGCCGGGCATCTCTCAGATACCAGCAGAGAACCAGCAAGGGGGTTAAGCAAGGCTGTCTTCTCGCCCCTTTACTCTTTAATTCTTATATTAATATAATGGCCAGCATCCTTAACAAGGAAGATGTCCATCCCCTCGACCTGCACAGCAGACCTGAATCTGTACTGCTTTACGCAGACGACGCAATCTTATTATCACCAATGGCGAGCCGTGGGACCTCTCCACATGTCTGTGAAGAACATCCATCATAGAGCAATTCTGAATAAAACAAAGGTCATGTTTACATATTTTATTTATTTATTTATTACATTTGTATGCCGCCCATCTCCCCCATATGTTTCACAAGGGGGTTTTAAAAATTGGATCGGACCTAAACTACAGCTCGGTTTATTTACGGCCAGCCGGATGGGCGTCGCAATCCTGGCAGAGACGAGTTTCGAAACTTTTTATACCTTTGTGCACTCTATTATGCACGTTTACTAAAATGGAAAGTTGTCAGTTTTACAGAGATGCCTTCTCTTGCGAAATTTTTTTGCTGAGGTGTCTTTCTCGCCTCGAGCTAGCGGCAGTTTCTGCATAAGCTTGTTCTCAAAAGCAAAAAGACATTGCTAAAAGAGAAGAAGCAATAAAACCTAAAAAAATTTCTTTCTGCTCCGATGAGACAAAAGTGCACATTAGTCTAGAGAAGTTTTTCAAACCTGTCCACTTTAAGATGGGTGGACTTCAACTCCCAGAATTCCCCAGCCAGCATG